AGCTCCGTAGCTGCCTGCCAAGACCTTTTTACTCCAAACACACAGAAACAAAAACAATACACACAGTTTTGAAACCACAGCACACTACTTTGCCAGAGATTCAGCTTTTGTCCGTCACAGAGGTCCAAATGGCCACCACCACCCTTTTATAGCCTGTGGGGTGTGGTCCAGTGACTCAGCTTAATCTCTGGCACGTCTCCTTTTCTGCTGCGCACGCTTATCGCTCCTACGCTGGCGTGGATCCAGCCACAACTTCTCATTATCCGACACACCTGGCTCCTGGCCAATCTCTGAACCACCTGGCTCCTGGTCAATCTCTTCTCCGTCGGAAGACACCTGAGGCCTTGCCAAAGAGGAGGGTCCAGGAGAGGGAGGCCTAGCCATCTCCTCTCCTTCATGTTCAGAGCCTTCTTCCTCCGATAAGAGGGGCTCACAAGACGGAGCCACAACAGACGGCGCTGTATGCTTTGGAAGTTCCAAGCTGTTCTATGAGTGGATTCATTTATACTTCTTGTGGTGTACTCATCACGGGAAGTATTACTATCGCTTTACAAAGACCCCACTTGAAATACTGCACCCAGTTTTGGCAACAAGTCAATAAACTACTGTGAAGGAACTTCTGGTGTCGTTCTTGGTTCCTCGGGCCTGGCACACATACCTCTTGTTGCAGGTTTCCTGATAGACCTGCAGCTGGCCCTCGTTTGCGCTGAACTCTCTCAGCAAAGCATCCCGACTGGGACTCCGGGTGTTTCGTCGAGTGTCGTACAGCTGATTGTTCAGTTCTGCTTGCCGTTGACGCAGTTGCCGAAAGGAGGAATACAGATCTTCCTCGCTTTCCTTCAGAGAATAAAAGGAAAGGAAGGGGATCTTAGAACACAAACTGACGGAGAAGCGAAATAAGGATTGGATGGACCAGCCAGAGGTCGTTTTTAAGAGTTATGCGCATGTAACTGAAAGCAAATTTTTAAGCCGTCTAAATTTTTGCCGTTGCGTTATGCCAGACATGGACCAGATTGAGTCAGTCCTGGAAAGATGGGAACCTTTTATTTTAAACCACATCAAACGTGAAAACACGTGTAGTTCTTCACACGTGTTTATAGCTTTGCTGGCTGGGGCATTCTGGGAATTGGAGCCCACACATCTGAAAGTGGCCAAGGTTGAGAAACACCGGTTTAAACTGTTCTAAGCCTAAGTGCTCCTCAAAAGGAGTGAAAAAGCAAAATTAGAAATCAACAAAACGAACAAAAAACTTTACAACTCAGAAGCGCACGTAGCAAATGCTGCTTTGCAAGTATGAGTGAAGAAGAGTCCTTGTCTTAATCTACACCCCTCTCCAAGCTCCTTCCAGGAAATGTGGGATATGGAAGAAAGGAAAACCATCTCAGCACAAACTCTTCAGGAAGGAAGCCAAACCCAACAGAATCACATGCAGAAAAAACTCAGTTCTGGAAAAGGTTGAGCAAAATGGTTCCAAAGCTTTTTTGCTTAAGAAAAGAGTGTGGTGTTTCTCCTCAAACTGTCTTCGCTCAAGTTCTCTCGCCTTTAGTCTTGTTGTCAAGTTTTGATAAACGTGGGGATCAAAGTCCCTTTATGGCGTAGAGGTGCTCACTGCATCCATCCAATCCCACAGGAGATTTTTTGTAAGAGAAGAAAACTGCAACTCACTAATAGTAAGGTTCTATTGTGACGCACACAGCCCAACGTGTTTGTTTATTTTTTAAATTTGTATGTCGCCCATCTTGTTGATGTAGCTGGGTGGCTTACACTATAATGACAAGTTAAAAGTTTTTAAAAAGGTAATACGAAGCAATTGTCAGGCATGAAAGATCAGGCCCAATTACACTGATTTATTGCTAAACAGCCTATACAGAGGAATTTGCTCAACTAACTGTGAGCACCTGTTTGGAGTTAGGAATTTAAGCGAAAGTTGGACTTAATTCACTTTTGGCTATGTAGGGATTCTAGGCTGAGTCCTCTTTTAACTCCACCCCCCAGGATATGCTACTCCTTTTACATCAATTAAAATTAGGAGAATTAAATAGAAAGCTAAAAGTCAAAACAATGGATGATGTACGGGACAGGGATCTTCTCCACCCCATCAGCCACCCCTAATGTGACACGCACCTATCAGGGTCCCTGGCCAGCTGACAAAGCCAGATGTTCAGGCTCTCGCAATGGCGGGAGTGTGAGAGCTGACCTCACCTCCAACCAGAGAATATTCTGGAAGGCGGGAGCCACAAGAGAAAAGACTCTGCTGGATCCTGTCAGCCAAATGTTTATTATTTGTTTATTTTATTGATTCACATCGCACCTTTCCTATGTTTAACTCAAGGTGGTGAACACAGCAGCGCTTCATCAAAATGTCATTTGGTTGTACCATTTTGTGAAAGGTGAACTTAAGATATCCACTTACCAAGATCTGCTGCATCTCACAATATATCAGAAGAGAAGCCAGCTCCATGTCTTCACTATATCCGTTTTTGAGGGGGACTGACCGATAGCCTAAAGGGGCGGGATTAAAAGGGTTAATTGCCACTTCAAGGCAGTCTCAGACTTGCGCACCTGAAGGAACAAACCGAGGCTCACCTGTTCTTATCTTGAAAGGACAGAGTTTTTACTAGGAAGCAGCAGGAAAGAGAAGGCATCGTGAAGGATGGCAAGACAATCACATGCCCCACAGCTGGAAAAACCCACAAGCAGCCACAAGAGATCTGCACCTCTGCAACAGGTCAAAAGCAAAAGAAGAATCGAAGCTATCCAGATAATTATATTTCTTTTAGCAGGAGGCAAGTTCAGATGTAAGAGTAGCACAGTTGGAAGGGACTTTGGAGGTCATCTTGTCCAACCCCCTGCTCTCGCAGGAGACCTATACTATTGCTGAAAGACAAGTGGCTGTCCAGTCTCTTCTTAAAAGCCTCCAGTGATGGGGCACCCACAATTTCCGAAGGCCATTTGTTCCACTGGTTAATTGTTCTCACTGTTAGGAATTTTCTCCTTAGTTCTAGGTTGCTTCTCTCCTTAGTCTGTTTCCATCCATTGTTTCTTGTTCTGCCTTCTGGTGCTTTGGTCAATACGTTGGCCCCCTCTTCCTTGTGGCAGCCCCTCCAATACTGGAAGATTGCTGTCATGTCACCCCTGGTCCTTCTTTTCACTAGGCTAGGTGTTCCCAGTTCCTGTAATCGCTCGTATGTTTTAGCTTCTAGGCCCCTAGATGTGGTATAGCCCCCCTCCCCCCCAAATTCCTTTTGTAGCTGGCCTATGCCACTTGGCTGTATTAAAACCTCGCAAGCAAGAACAATCAAGTTCGCACTTAAGACTCGCCTCCTGATTAAGGAGCTGAAAAGAAAATAGTCAAGTGTTAGGAAAGTGCATACCCGACAGATCAAAGATTTGAGAAAGGGTTTGAAGTGTCACGAATAAAACTTGGAGATCAAACCTTTCAATTTAATTCTACTGTCACTTTCAGTCCAAACACTTGAGCTAAGAGCGCAAACTCATCAGCCAAACACGTTATAGAAATCTGAAGATCAATATAATACAGGTAGTCTTCAACCACAATTGAGCCCAAAATTTCCGTTGCTGAGTGAGACGGTTGGTTAAGCGGGTTTTGCCCCACTTTACGACTTTTCTTGCCACAGATAACAACAGGGCTGTCAAGTGAATGCGGCTTGCCCATTAACTTGTCAAAAGGTCGCAAATTGTAATCACAGAAGCCCGGGACTCTGCAAGCGTCATAAATATAAGCCAGGGGCCACGCATCTGAATTTCGATCACGTGAGCATGGGGGTGCCTCAGCGGTGTGACAAATGGTCATAAATCGCTTTTTTCCAGTGTCGCCGTAACTTCAAACGGCCACTAAATGAAAGGTTTAGGTCAATGACTACCTGTATGCAAAATTCCATGTTTGATCTGGCAATATTTGATACCTACCTGATTTGACTCCTTTGATTGGAAAAGTCGCATGTGCTAAGAAATTGGGGTCACTGAACATGTCTTCTTCATAGACAACGAAGCGTAGAAATGCTATGTTAGGGTCATAAATTTCAAATTTCACTTGCTCCTGAAGTGCCCAAACTGGGTTAAGACCATTGTCATCTGTAACAAAATGAGTGTTTTGTTATATCCTCGAGTCCCGCACACTGGCTTGAAGCAAGACCTGAAAATCTGAACACCAAATGAAGCCATGTCTTGTGATCTTTTGAGAGTTTTAAGTGCCTCTTATTTTTATAAAAAAAAAAACAAGGCCCTTTTGTGGCCCTTTAAAGGTTACCCAGTTTATTGTAGCATAGGACTGTGTGTAGCCTCAGGTACACTGAATAATCTGGAGACATGAAAATCCTTTCTTCTCTTGCTCACCACAGAAAGATGGAAGAAGAAGTAACACGGCATTATCTACAGATCGCTGTTTCTAAACCTTGGCAGTCTTCAGTTGTGTGGGCTTCAACTCCCACAATTCTTAGCAGAGGCCATGCTGGTTGGGGAATTCTGGAAGTTGAAGTCCACAAGTTTTAAAGTTGCCAAGGTTGGACACCCTCGATTTACACCATACGGGTTCTCTCCTCATTAAAAGGTACAACCCAACTTTTAAAGAATAGTACTTACTCACAACAGTTGTCTTGAACTTATTGTTGTCATATTCCGCCCCACAGATCTCCACCTCTACAAACGGGCAGGCGATACTTCTGCCAGACTTGGGAAGATGTCGAGCAGCAATGACCTGTTTTAAGACATTCCCCCAATATTCAAATTATTTCAAATGCTGAATTACTGGTGCAGATCCAGAAGCTATTCCTCAAACAAGATCATAATTTAGCAGCTTCTTCCTCCAATTACATAAGGCACAACTAATCCAATAGAAAAGATTCGATCACACCCATTCCAGTTTAGCTAAGCACTCAACTTTGCTTTTACTTTTTCATGATCTTTCTCCTATTTAGAATCAGGTGTAGAATGGATGTGTGTGTGTATGTGTGTGTGTTGGAATGAATGCTGGAACTCAGCTAGCCATAATAACTGCTGCTTTATGGGAACCCAAGAACGATTTGATAAGTTTTGGTGGCTGAGGAGCTGGGCACGTTTCAGGCTAATTGGAGAATGATTTATGACTGCTTATTAGGGGTGGGAATTGCAAATTGTTACTTGGTATTGGGGGGAATGGAAACTAGTTTTGGGTTCAACTATATAGTGCCGATACTCTGTCTCCTGAATAAAATGTTCTTTGAGGAAGAATCCTTGCCTTGAAGTTCTTGATCGGGTTTCGTCTATCGGAACCATGACACTAACAAGGCTGTCAAGTATATTTCAAAGGAAAAACAAAACCACTTATGGAACACCCTCCCCCCCCCTTTCCAAACTTTCCTTGTTTGTCAATAATGGTGGAGAAAAACATTTACCCTCACGGTCAAAATCATTTGCAGCTTTTTCTTGCATTCGTTTAGCACCGGATCGTAAGCCTCATTTCTCATGCCTTCTGGCTGCAGCACGTAGCCGGTCCAACCGTTCAGTGCGAACAAAGCTTGATTCATTTGCATGTATTTATCTGAGGAGAATATTTGGAATGGTGGGGGGGAAAAAAAGATTAGCTAGTTGACCTGGGAATAAAACTTGAGATATTGTGCTCCTTTGTATCCTGAAAATATTAAATTCCAGCGAAATATGGCAAATGGGACTGAGGATTATTATTATTTTTGCCACTTACTGAAACCGTAACAGTATTGTTTGGAATTATAGGGGGGGAAAATGCTTTTGTTACAAATGTGTACCAAAATACATCAGTGATGTGGCAATAAAAAAAACTATATATGTGTGTGTGTGTCAATGATTAAAGTAAACACTGAAGGAAAGAAAACCTAATGATAAGGAAAAATGAACCTGTAGGGAAAAATCTACATACTGTAGTATAACATAGAATTCAGTCCTCAAAAAACCTGATTATAGAGAAACCACAAAAATACCGATCCAGCTTCCCATTTTGAGAAGAAAATGACTTTTCAAAATTGCATAAAGACATACTTTATATTTCATAGAAACAGATTAGCAAACTGAGATTAAAATACACACACACACACACACACACAATCTATCTATCTATCTATCTATCTATCTATCTATCTATCTATCTATCTATCTATCTATCTATCTATCTATCTATCTATCATCTATCTATTTATATCTATATATACAGCTAAATATATACAGAATATATATATATATGTACACACAGCTAAATATATATAGAATATGTATACAGTATATACAACTAAATATATACAGTATATATGTATGTTTGTGTGTGTGTATATATATACAGAATATATGTGTGTATATATATAAATATATACAGAATATATGTATATAGTTTGTACATATTTAGCTGCCAATCTCTCTCTCTCTCTCTCTCTCTCTCTCTCTCTCTCTCTCTCTCTCTCTCTCTCTCTAACATTCAGCGGGATCATTTCAGTAGGTTGTGAAGTGAATGAGAAAGTTGCTTTTTTTGTTTCACCTGGTGTCTGGAAATTGAGAGCCACCATCTGCACCCCACAAAACCAGAAGCGAAAAGGATCATAATTTGAGGAATCCACTCTTTGCCCTTTGGGATAAATTCGAGTCAGCCCCTTCTGATTGTACTTCAGCAGGTCAAGCGGTTTCTGCTTGATAATGCTGTCTGCTTTGGTTTCCACAAAAGAGCGAATTTCTTTGAAACTGGGATTATCTATAAAAAGAAAGTGCAAGAAGAAGCTATTTCATAAATATATACCCTACATAACCCGCTGCAAAATAAATCTGAGGACAATTTCTGAACGCAATCACTACGTGGTACATGTTACAAGGCCAATGTGGGAATCAAAGAAGTAACTGTCCTCTGTTTTGGTGAAGGAGTGTGCTGATAGCAGAAGGTTGCAAAGTAGAGGCAGGAAAGAGATAGATAGCAATTTCCATCTGTATCTCACTTCAAATAGAGAGAAATCGTGGCATCAACTTTTAGACATCCTAGCCAGAGAGGAGAAGCTTCCAAAACCTTTACGTTGCAGATCTCCCAGGTGTGCAATATTGGAAAATATGCAAATAACAAATAGTTTGGTTTGAAGAGACACCCCTCTTCCCGGAAAAACAACAAATATTCTTTTTTTGGTTTAGCAAGCTAACTGTTGGGTTAAAAAAAAATGGTTTACCGAGGCTGTCTTTGGTTTTGCTTGTGGGTATGCAGTAGATTACCAAGTCAGACAACTCCATGGCAATTAACTGCTTCTTTTCCAAGTATCCTTTTAAAGTTTTCTGTTTTAAGGTTTAAGAAAAAGAAAGGGGGGGGGGGAAAGCGAAGTTCAGAAAGTATACATTAGATACAGAATATTCCGCAACAGAATATTCCGAAAATATTCTGAATCTCTACTCAGCCTTTTGGCTCTCACCTCTTCAGCAGTTCTCCAGGTGATTTCTCTGATGCTCTGAAACCATTCAAACCACTCTTCTACTTTATCGGTGGCAAACTCAACGGGAGGGTCTTCAAGACTCTTGGGCTCCAGGACAAAGACAAAACCCTTCCCGTGGTTCCCTTGAGGCATTTTCACTATTGGAAATGAGAAAACAGGAATGTACTCAACATTCTTCTAGCCCAGTGGTTCTCAACCTTTTTAATGCCGCGACCCCCAACCGGTCGTAAGTCGAGGACTAAAGGTCAGCATTCAGCTCCTGATTTGACCAGCATTCAGCTCCTGATGGGTTGACCAGCATTCAGCTCCTGAAAGGGACGGGCCCTCGCGGCGCGTACGCACCAAGGCGGGGGACGCGGCCGGCTCCGCATCGACCGTTCGCCGTCTCTACCTCGTTCGGCTGGTGGTCGACCGGGTCGAGTTCCCTCCATTCCGTGGGCGGGGAAAAGGGGGAAAAAATGGCGGACAGCCTTGCTTGGCGACCCCCGTGAAATGGTCGATCGAGCCCAAATGGGGTCGCGACCCATAGGTTGAGAACCGCTGTACTAGCCGAATGTTCTACAGGGCCTCTGGGCTCCTCCCTTTTTTAGGCCATAAAATGCCAACTGCATCTTGTCTATTATGCCTTCAAAGGTTTCTTCGTGGGGAGGGCATTTATGAGCTTGGAAGCACTGTTCACCCTCTGGGACTGCAAACACGGTAAGGAAAAACTATCATATTGACTTAAACAGATCAAAGATCCACGCAGATGTGGACTTGAGAGAATACAGAATAACAAGAGTTGGAAGGGACTTTGATGGTCTTGAGCAGGAAGCCCTATATCCTTCTGGACAAATGGCTGTCCAATCTCTTTTAAAAACCTCCAGTGATGGAACACCCACAACTTCTGGAGGTAAGTCATTCCACTGATTAGAAATTTCTCTGGTTCTAGGTTGGATTGCTCTTTCATAAGCTAGGTAGAAAATAATCAGTAGTATTGCCCTTATGAAGAACTTGGAAGAGGAGGAGGGAGGGGAGGAGGACGGGGAGAAGGATCCTAAGATTTTCTGTTAGAGCTATCTTTTTCCCCCCTCCATGTCACCTACATTAATTCTAATTTAAGAAACAAAAAAAAAATGGAGCCCAGCATCTACGTACCCACTGTATATAAATTGAGATCCAGAATTCCCCGACATAGTGACCCTAAGGGGTTGTCCTCAAAGATCTGGAAAGAAAAGATTTGTATTTCATTATATAGTTGGTTTTTTTTTATACCTATAGTGGTAAGATTTTTAATCTCCAGCCTTTAATCATCCTAGTTGCTCTTCTCTGCAGTTTTTCCAAAGTCTCAACGTCTTTTTTGTAATGTGGTGACTAAAACTGGATGCAGATATTTATATACTGATAAATCATTTTAACGGACTTGAGAATCAAGAATACATGCTGACCTGTGAATCACCCCAAAAGTTTTTCCTACCTGGTTCTCAAGCTCCTCCATATTGTCAGATGACATGTCTTCAACGTAATTGGATGGAAAATAACGCTGAACTTTATATCCATAATCGCCTTTCCACCTGGTTAAAAAGGAGAAAGAACTAAGGAGTGAGATTTGAATAACAAGAACAACTTGTAAATTATCAATTGAATTATAATCATCAAGCGATTTGCTTATTAGATCTGAATCTTTTAAAACTGCCCATCTCGTAAAAAACCCTCAAGGATGCTTTTAGCAATCGTCATATCTAATCATAAAATAATATATGCAGTCTCTAAAACATAAGGCCTGCTCCCAAGCAGAAATGAGATGGGCAACGTAATCAGAATAAATCAAGTATGAAAAATTTCTGGAGAAGATAATTAACCAGAAGAACACAATTTCAAAGGGGCCGTGGTTAATGGAATAGCGCTGATGGGTCATCACCACAATTATGCACCATTTCAACATCCTGCATAACTGATTTTAAATTGTGCCACCTACATTGCTTTTTACACTGTTCTTTTGTTACTTTAAAATGCTCTGAAATTTAAGAAAACCAGAAGCTTATGTAGTTTTGGATTACATTACACTGAGTGGGCTGGCAGAGAAAAACAATATAGAGGGAAATGAATAAATGAATGTGATTCTTCATGCAACTTGACACAAAACTATCTCTGCACCACCGCTCTGGGCCTCCCCCAAAACTGAACAAAATCGCGTTGGATACTTTACAACTCCGATAAAAGCATTCTGTACTATCTCATCATCATTTTAAAGCTTTGGTTCACACAGGGGCTGCCACAAAGAAGAGGGAGTCAAGCTATTTTCCAAAGCGCCTGAAGGCAGGACAAGGAGCAACGGGTGGAAACTAGTCAAGGAGAGAAGCAACCTAGAACTAAGGAGAAACTTCCTGACAGTGAGAACAACTAACCAGTGGAACTCCTTGCCTCCAGAAGCGGTGAATGCTCCAACACTGGAGGCTTTTAAGAAGAGACTGGACAGCCATTTGTCCGAAATGGTATAGGGTTTCCTGCCTGAGCAGGGGGTTGGACTAGATGACCTCCAAGGTCCCTTCCAACTTTTTTTATTATTATTATTATTATTATTATTATTATTATTATTATTATTATTATTATTATTATTATTATTATTATTATTATTATTATTATTATTATTATTTTCAGTCAAGTTTTCACTTGAAACAACAGAAAAATCATATGAAGAAATCTACTGTTGGAAAACAGTTTGCAAGTAGACCTCAATTAATGAATAGACTAATGGTAGTCTATATGCTACCGTCAGTGTGTGAAATTAGGCATTTTATAGAATGCTTTCAAAATCTAGAGACCGGCAAAAGTGGGATGTTAAAAGTATGAAATGCTTAATATTTCATACATTTCCTAGGTATCTACGCCATGCCAAAAGGCAAACCGGCAAAGTATAACATACCCCCGCTAAAATGCAATTCTAGCCTTGCTTGTTGCAACAAGTAGATCAATGCTGGTCTTTTTCTCTCTCTCTCTCTTTTTTTCCAGTAAGAAAATCCTGTGCTTTATTTTGCATTTCTTCTTTCATTTTCATATATGTCTTTTCAATAAAGGGTTAGAGTTAGGCTAACTTGAATCCTAACCCCTTTCATGACTCTCTTTTCATACTTGGCTTAAATACTTCTTGTCATTCTGCATAATGCCTAGGTCTTATAGACAGTGCCTAAGGAAAGTATATGGCGTATTGAAATAACAGAGACATTTCATACTTTGCCTTAAAAATGTCACGCATTCTAAAGATTTCCTAGGCGTTCTATATGATCCCAGTTTTTTGCACCTTGCCAGTAATGCATATAACAGCCTCAACAAAAACATGTCCCAAAGGTGCTTTTTCAAAAGGACACTGGACTTTCTTTGTTTTTCCTAGAAGACATTTCGCTTCCCATAGAAGAAGTTTCTTCAGTTGCCTGAAGAACTGAAACTGAAGAAGCTTCTTAGATGAGAAGTGAAACATCTTCAAGGAAAAATAAAGTCCGGTTGCCTTTTGAAAACAAAACAAACAACCCCCTTTGGGACAAACGTGACCTGGATGACTGAGAATCTCCACCACGGAGATTCAACAAAAGTACAAAAAATAATAATCCAAATCTTACCAGCCGCCACTTTCTTTGGAGACGTTATGAATTAAAGCTCCCCGGCAAAATGTCAGCTCATCATCTCTCTTAGCTTGATAGTCGTACAAGGCTTTAACCGTTCTCTGGGGCTTCGAGGAAAAAAAAAACACCAATGGAAAACATTTCAGACCAACAAGTCGGCTGAATTTTGAGAAATGCTATGAATCGTTCTGATGTTTGAATGGAAAAATTAAAGATAAAGAGTAATTAGCTCCCCATTCTTTTGGACTTGGATATCACTCACCACAGAAGGTGTTATTTCGGTGGGCTCCACGTACATCTTGACTTCGTATAAAGAGCTAGGATCTTTCTCCTAGGTTGAAAATCAAAATAAAATGAGTTACCATCAAAGTCTCGGCTCTTGGGCATTTTACCTTGCTTACATTAGCATACAGCAACTGAATATTGGAAAATCTACCAGATTTCCCCTTTCTCCTCACTTTTGGGATATCCCCTACCCCCCCCCCCAAAGTCCAGCAGTATTCTGGCAAAATTTGAGGGGAACTTTTTTGATATTTGAGCTAGCTAGAAAAGGGAAGTTTTCATAATGACTGATAATTTCATTGTCTTTTAAGATCTGGGTCTTTTTTCTTCTTAGTCTTCTGCTCATGAAAAGTACCTGACTTTATATTCAGGGCCATGTTGTCTAGGTTGCCACCCTAAGCTAAGCCATACTCTGATTGTGGGTCCTGATTGTGTTGTGGTATGTAACACAGAGAATGTTAACAGTCTAAGGAGGAATCATCCAGCATTTCAACATTTATTTTCTCATACAGCCAGAAATGATTTTGGCTTATTTTTACCTGCTTGGGATATAAGATAGTTGAGTCTCTTAATCAGAGTCTGAGGTTGGCTGGATTGAAATTCCCACTTTTCAATCTTGTGCTCTCAAAGTTAAGTGAGTACATGATTTTAGGGACTGTTCTAAAGCGATGAATCACAACTAAAGAATGCAGTGTGTTTATGGCAGTTTTAAGGGATCAACAATTTATCTAGCACCTTGGCTGCATGTCTTCCTATAAATATCGCTACGTTTTTAATTACTAGTATTGATCTTACAATAATTATTTTAGCATTCTTTATTTAACTTTATTTATAATACAATGAAGAGACTATATCCCTTAATTAGAGGGCTAATTATCTCGGAACCTAGAAGGGTAAGAAGGTAGAAAGAAACCATTAGTTGTCAAGAGTCAATACTGACTCGAAGACATAGAGAAAGGAAAACCACACACATGTATAGAACAGAATAAAAGAGTAATAGAGCTAGAAGGGACCTTGGAGGTCTTCTAGTCCAACTCCCTGCTCAAGCAGGAAACCCTACACCATTCCAGACAAATGGTTGTCCAGTCTCTTCTTAAAAACTTCCAGTGATGGAGCATCTACAACTTTTGAAGGCAAGCTGTTCCACTGGTTAATCGTTCTCACTATCAGGAAACGTCTCCTTAGTTCTAGGTGGGTTCTCTCCTTGATCAGTTTCCATCCATTACTTCTCATCCTAAAAATCACAAGTATGACCAAAATGCCAGGATTCCATATGTGGTTTTTAGCACCCATCTTAAAAAAGAGGGACCTACCATGCTATAACGCTCCAGAAGTTCCTCAGTCACTGGATAGCGCAGCCTCATTTTCCTGTACAAGGGGTGCTTCTCATAGTAGTTCACCAGCTCCACTAAACTCTCAAAATAAGCAGAGGTTCCCAAGACAAAGAGTCGGCCTTCTTGTTTAATTCGACAATGCTTCACTTTCCCCTCCGCTCTGCAGAAGAAACAAGAATGGTCTTTTTTTTTTTTAAAGCAATCTATCTGTGAGCAGGAATAGCCCTCAGNATCATCATCATCATCATCATCATCATCATCATCATCATCATCATCATCATCATCATCATCATCATCATCATCATCATCATCATCATTATTATTATTATTATTATTATTATTATTATTATTATTATTATTATTATTATTTTCAGTCAAGTTTTCACTTGAAACAACAGAAAAATCATATGAAGAAATCTACTGTTGGAAAACAGCTTGCAAGTAGCCCTCAATTAATGAATAGACTAATGGTAGTCTATATGTTACCGTCAGTGTGTGAAATTAGGCATTTTATAGAACGCCTTCGAAATCTAGAGACCGCCAAAAGTGGGATATTAAAGTATGAAATGCTTAATATTTCATACATTTCCTAGGTATCTACGCCATGCCAAAAGGCAAACTGGCAAAGTATAACATACCCCCGCTAAAATGCAATTCTACCCTTCCTTGTTGCAACAAGTAGATCAATGCTGGTCTTTCTCTCTCTCTTTTTTTTTTTCCAGTAAGAAAATCCTGTGCTTTATTTTGCATTTCTTCTTTCATTTTCATATATGTCTTTTCAATAAAGGGTTAGAGTTAGGCTAACTTGAATCCTAACCCCTTTCATGACTCTCTTTTCATACTTGGCTTAAATACTTCTTGTCATTCTGCATAATGCCTAGGTCTTATAGACAGTGCCTAAGGAAAGTATATGGCATATTGAAATAACAGAGACATTTCATACTTTGCCTTAAAAATGTCACACATTCTAAAGATTTCCTAGGCGTTCTATATGATCCCAGTTTTTTGCACCTTGCCAGTAATGTATATAACAGCCTCAACAAAAACATGTCCCAAAGGTGCTTTTTCAAAAGGACACTGGACTTTCTTTGTTTTTCCTAGAAGACATTTCGCTTCCCATAGAAGAAGTTTCTTCAGTTGCCTGAAGAACTGAAACTGAAGAAGCTTCTTAGATGAGAAGTGAAACATCTTCAAGGAAAAATAAAGTCCAGTTGCCTTTTGGAAAAAAAAACCTCTTTGGGACAAACGTGATCTGGATGACTGAGACTCTCCACCACGGAGATTCAACAAAAGTACAAAAAATAATAATAATCCAATTCTTACCAGCCACCACTTTCTTTGGATACGTTATGAATTAAAGCTCCCCGGCAAAATGTCAGCTCATCATCTCTCTTAGCTTGATAGTCGTACAAGGCTTTAACCGTTCTCTGGGGCTTCGAGGAAAAAAAAAACACCAATGGAAAACATTTCAGACCAACAAGTCGGCTGAATTTTGAGAAATGCTATGAATCGTTCTGATGTTTGAATGGAAAAAATTGAAGATAAAGAGTAATTAGCTCCCCATTCTTTTAGACTTGGATATCACTCACCACAGAAGGTGTTATTTCGGTGGGCTCCACGTACATCTTGACTTCGTATAAAGAGCTAGGATCTTTCTCCTAGGTTGAAAATCAAAATAAAATGAGTTACCATCAAAGTCTCGGCTCTTAGACATTTTACCTTGCTTACATACAGCAACTGAATATTGGAAAATCTACCAGATTTTCCCCTTCTCCTCACTTTTGGGATATCCCCTACCCCCAAAAAAGTCCAGCAGTATTGTGGCAAAAATTGAGGGGAACTTTTTTGATATTTGAGCTAGCTAGAAAAGGGAAGTTTTCATAATGACTGATAATTTCATTGTCTTTAAGATCTGGGTCTTTTTTCTTCTTAGTCTTCTGCTCAAGAAAAGTACCTGACTTTATATTCAGGGCCATGTTGTCTAGGTTGCCACCCTAAGCTAAGCCATAATCTAATTGTGGGTCCTGATTGTGTTGTGGTATGTAACACAGAGAATTTTAACAGATTAAGGAGGAATCATCCAGCATTTCACACATTTATTTTCTCCTACAGCCAGAAATGATTTTGGCTTATTTTTACCTGCTTGGGATATAAGTTAGTTGAGTCTCTTAATCAGAGTCTGAGGATGGCTGGATTGAAATTCCCACTTTTCAATCTTGTGCTCTCAAAGTTAAGTGAGTACATGATTTTAGGGACTGTTCTAAAGCGATGAATCACAACTAAAGGACGCAGTGTGTTTATGGCAGCTTTAAGGGATCAACAATTTATCTAACACCTTGGCTGCATGTCTTCCTATAAATATCGCTACGTTTTTAATTACTAGTATTGATCTTACAATAATTATTTTAGCATTCTTTATTTAACTTTATTTATAATACAATGAAGAGACTATATCCCTTAATTAGAGGGCTAATTATCTCGGAACCTAGAAGGGTAGGAAGGTAGAAAGAAATCATTAGTTGTCAAGAGTCAATGCTGACTCGAAGACATAGAGAAAGGAAAACCACACACATGTATAGAACAGAATAAAAGAGTAATAGAGCTAGAAGGGACCTTGGAGGTCTTCTAGTCCAACTCCCTGCTCAAGCAGGAAACCCTACACCATTCCAGACAAATGGTTGTCCAGTCTCTTCTTAAAAACTTCCAGTGATGGAGCATCTACAACTTTTGAAGGCAAGCTGTTCCACTGGTTAATCGTTCTCACTATCAGGAAACGTCTCCTTAGTTCTAGGTGGGTTCTCTCCTTGATCAATTTCCATCCATTACTTCTCATCCCAAAAATCACAAGTATGACCAAAATGCCAGGCTTCCATATGTGGTTTTTAGCACCCATCTTAAAAAAGAGGGACCTACCATGCTATAACGCTCCAGAAGTTCCTCAGTCACTGGATAGCGCAGCCTCATCTTCCTGTACAAGGGGTGCTTCTCATAGTAGTTCACCAGCTCCACTAAACTCTCAAAATAAGCAGAGGTTCCCAAGACAAAGAGTCGGCCTTCTTGTTTAATTCGACAATGCTTCACTTTCCCCTCCGCTCTGCAGAAGAAACAAGAATGGTCTTTTTTTTTTTTAAAGCAATCTATCTGTGAGCAGGAATAGCCCTCAGAATTCCATATTATTTATGTATTTAATTTAAATCCGGTCTTTATTATTTTTACAAATAACTCAAGGCAGAGAAGATCCAACACACCTTCCTCCTTCCATTTTCCCTATAACGATGAGATGGGTTGTACTGAGAAGGACTGGCCCAATGTCACCTAGCTGACTTTCATGGTTAAAGCAGGACTAGAACTCACCGTCTCCTGGTGATTGGCCCAAAGTCAACCAACAGTCTTTCACAGCTAAGGCAGGACTTGAACTCACCGTCTCCCACTTTCCAGCCTGATGCCTTAACCATTGGACCAAACTGGCTCTCTATTTAGCTGAGCCTTTGCAAACAGAGATAATTGTTTATGGATGGCTCTATTTCCTGGCATCCACAGGAGAAGAGGCATGAAATATTTGCAAAGGGAGTGTTAGAGGATCTGTTGACCCTTTGAGGTAGACCAGACAAGAAGCACATCCATGAGTATCAACACTATCCTTATTGTAAGGTGACATTAACAGAATCTTGAAAGTCTGAAAGACCTTCTCTTTTACTTTCCAGAAAACTACAGACGGTCCCTTCTGAGATATCCTGTGTCCTTTTTCCTTCTGTTGGCTAAAACAACATTTGCGTGACAGTTGTCTAGGTTAAGACTCTTCCTCTGTCTCCCAAGGTGATTCCCACAGACCATTATAAGATCATCTAGCTTCTCAAAAATGTTTCCATTCTCCTGGCTGTCCAATCGGCCTCCTACCACACGAGATAATAAGGTTCATCCCTCTTCTTTTCCTACTGACAGCTGGGACAACCTGGATGGGTAATAATTAGTCATGTTCCTTAGGTTCCATCTTAACAGATTTGGACTGAACTAGGTGAAAACAGAAGTACGTGAGCCATGGTGGAACAGTGGTTGGAATGCAGTATTGCAGGCTAACACTGTTGACTGCCAGCAGTTTGATCCAGACCGGCTCAAGGTTGACTCAGTCTTCCATCCTTCCGAGGTCGGTAAAATGAGGACCCAGATTGTTGGGAGCAATAGGCTGACTCTGTAAGCCATTTAGAGAGGGCTGTGTAGCACTATGAAGTGGCATATAGGTCTAAACGCTAGTGCTATTGTTACTTTCATTTTTAGAGAAGAAGAGAGAATCAGCTAGGCTTAACCCGAGACTTAGCCATCTCTGCAACTTGGAGGGCTGACTAAACACATTATCTAACTCAAGAACCCATGGAACATGACACTATTGTCATCTGATTAATCTAACAAGCTTGACAAGACTCTTTCGAAGCATATGCAGTAATCGATGAATTAGTGCTTCAGATATCCCTGATATTCATTGTTTTTTCTGTAAAGTCAACCACAAGGCCGCTCTGAAAATTTATCTAATCATCACCCCATGTGTCTTATCTTACCTGAAAGTTATGGCATAGGAATCCAGTTCATCTCTCTTCCTTATCAGGAAGGCTCCATCCCTTGGAATCCGCATCAACATGTCTTCTGCTTCTCCACGACTCAGGTTGCTGTAATACCAACTAACAGAGAAAAAGGTGATTGCAGTTTCAAACGTAACCTCATTAATAATAGCAAAGAGGGACACCAGATGGTGAGCACAGAATTCCTTTGTTCTGAAATCAACGAGTTACTCTTAAATGTTGATACTGTTGGCTTTTCCCCTTCCTGCCGTCTAAATCCAGTCCTTTAGACCTCCAAACCAGTGGTCAAATAGAGGTGGAGAGCTGGTACAAAGATAAGGTTTTCCTACCAGCTCAATTCCAGGTGGACTGAGGAGAAAGAAACAACCTCACCAAAACCTACCCCCTTAAACCCAATTTCAAAGGTATAAGAAGAACTGCAAGAGTTAATTTGCAATAGTTTCAGAGGTGAAGAAGCACTGTAAGAGTTGATTTACAGCTTTAACGAGAGGACCAAATGAAGACACAAGCCTGGAAGATCATGCCTATCCTCATTATCCAGAGTATAGTCTGATTTAGCACAGGGGTCTCCAAAGTTGGCAACTTTTAAGAGTTTTGGACTTCAACTCCCAGCATTCCCCAGCCAGTAGGGCTGACTGAGCAATTCAGTGAGTTGAAGTCCACAAGTCTTGAAGTTGCCAAGTTGAGAGACTCCTGACTGAGCAGAAAGACAAGCACAGGGTGATGTAAGCTCCAACTACCATTCTAATCTTATTGTTTTGCCTTTGAACCATGTTTTACTCGAATTCAGCTAGAAAGTAAGTTCTGGGAGGATATTGGCTTGCGAAATCACTCAAGGACTCCAACCAAACTGTGGGCAGGTAAGTTGCCCAAGGATGGGAAGCTTCAGAACGTCCATCTTTTCCCAAAAATCAAACCCTCTGGTCTTGTTTCACGCAGGGGTGGAGCAGGTAAAGATTTAAACTAGGGGCTGGGAGCTAGAAAACTGTATCCAGATTGCTTGGTTCATCCCTACAAGTCCCAACAAATGCTACAAAACGTAGCTGATCAAGCTAATTTTGCAGCCTGTTTAATTCTGGTTTGCCGAACCAAAACGAAATGTATGTTTATTCTAGTTTAAAAAGAGAGAGAAGGACCAGGGGTGTCATGATAAGAGACTTCCAATATTTGAGAGGCTGTCACACAGAAGAGGAGGACGACCTAGTCTCCTGAAGGCAGGACAAGAAGTAATGGATGGAACTAATCAAGGACAGAACCAACCAGAACTAAGGAGAAATTTCTTGACAGCTTGAACAATTAATCAGTGGAACGGCTTGCTTCCAGAAGTTGTGGATGCTCCTTCACTGAAGGTTTTAAGAAGAGATTGGATGGCCATTTGTCCATAATGGTATAGAGTCTCCTGCTTGAGCAGGGGGTTGGACTAGAAGACCTCCAAGGTCCCTTCCAACTCTGTTGTTCTGTATTATTCTGTCATCCTCTGCCTTAAGACAATATTTCTCCATCTAAACCAGGGGTAGTCAACCTTGGCTCTTTTACGACTCGTGGACTTCAACTCCCAGAATTCCTGAGCCAGCCAAGCTGGCTCAGGAATTCTGGGAATTGAGGTCCACGAGTCATAAAAGAGCCAAGATTGACTACCCCTGATCTAAACCATTCCACTCCTTGGACTGATATAAAGGATGAAGTGGGTACCTCAGAGCCAGACAATTACCCACGTCTTCCTTTGAACAAGAGGACACGGGTGTGTTGTAATGTTATAGCTCTCCCTCAGACACCACACACACATAAGAGAGACAGACAGACGGGCAAGGCTGTGGCTTCCAGCTCATGTGCCTATGCCAAGAGGCTCTACCAAGCGCTATTTCTCAAATTTTTTCCTCAGAGAGAAAAGCCAACCCAAGAAAAAAAATAATAACAAAAACTAAGCTGGATAAACTGCCACGGAGACAAAATCCATAAATGGCAAAAGCCTGTGGTTTTAAAAGAAGAGAAAGTCAAGCAAGAGAATCCTCCTCAATTAACATCTCCCTGTTTTCTCTTGGCCAAATGATTAAATATCTTAAGAGCTTAGACTGTCCCCAGAAATTTTGCAGCTCTTTCCAGACTCCTGAGGTTAAAGTTGCATATTCAAGGCATAATTCAGCACCGTCTGTCAGTTTAGCTGACTCTCCTTGTTGTTTTCCATCAAATTCTCCCTCTTGCCACCGCAGCAAAAGACGAACAGCAAGCTTCAGTACTAAAAATAGCATTTCACCCCACCCTGGAATTTTTTTTTCTTTCTTGGCTCTACGTACTCCTTAGATTCGTGAGGTTTGGGATTCGGGACGGCGTCAGTCAAGCGCAGCTCAAACTCAGCGCAGCGTAAATGGGCTTCTTTGTAATGCTGGATTAGGTCAGAAATGCTGTCGAAGGTGAGGTTATTGGTCAGGTAATATTTTATGCTGTCTCCATCGGAAGAAGAGCGGATGTGGCAGTGCTGGACTCTACCTGATCTCCTAGGACAAATGAGGAAAAAATAAAGTTTTTTTTTTAAAAAAGAAGAAGTCTCGTTCTTCTTTCAATTTGTGAACTGCAGCTGTTTGCATTTGGAAAAAGAGAAAGGAAGATTGAAGGAAACTGGGTCTGCTCAATTATGCAGAGTAGGAATAAGATGGAGGGGTCCTTGGTGCTCCCTAGGCACCAGGGGGGGACAGTGGGAGGAGGGGGGGACAGTGGGGTCCTTGGTGCTCTCTGAGTTTGGTTGTTTTCTTGCAGATATTTCATTACCAATGTAGGTAACATCATCAGTGCTAGAAGGGAGTAGGATTTGTGGAGTGGAGGAGGAGGAGGAGGAGGAGGAGGAGGAGTCCTTGGTGCTCTCTGAGCTTGGTTAGAAGGAAATGTGGTTTGTTCTCTGTTTATATACTAGTGGCTTGTCTTCTCAGTTTTGGTGAGGGTGCTGTTTTCTTCTTGGTAGTTCCTTGATTAGACTGTTTATTGCTTTGATTATATGTGTGAGTCAGTAGTTCCTTGACTGAAATAAACAGAGAGCAAAACCCACTGTTTTCTAACACTGATGATGTTACCTAGTTTGGTAATGAAATGTTTGCAAGAAAACCACCAAGCTCAGAGAGCACCAAGGACCTCACAGTCCTTTCACCACCTCCTCCTCCTCCTCCTCCTCCTCCTCCTCCTCCTCCCTGCAAACCCCACTCCTTACTAGCACTGATGATGTTACCTAGTTGGGTAATGAAACGTTTGCAAGAAAACCACCAAGCTCAGAAAGCACCAAGGACCCCACCGTTCAACCCTGAGACGCAAATATTCCCATTGAGGATTTTAATGATATATAGATAATCCTTGGCTTACGACTGTAATGGAACCGGCCCACCATGGTTGTAACTCATGATGGTGAGCCACAACCTGATTTTTTTTGTGGAGATTGTTAAACAAGCCATGGTTCACTATGGGCTGCTTTGGGCCAAAAACAAGAAAATGGCAATTTTCGGCAAAAAAGTAGGCTAGCTGGTTGAATTGAAGTCCAGACTTCTTAAGTTTGGCAAAGTTTGAAAAGCGCTGCTCCAGAGTGCTTTACCCCCTTAGTCTTGCTTCTAAGACAGCCAAAACATAAGAACAAATTCAGGAAATGGCTTGCTTAGCTCCTAAACAATCGACTCAGCTAAATCAGGAAGTTTGTTTTTCCACTTCCAATTAAGTATTACATTTCATAGCAGGTCAACAGAAAGAGCAGAATTTGGGCAGTGGGGGGGACCCTTCGTGAATTACATTGAGCCCGATTCAGCCTCCCTAAATTGACTCATGTAACCAACAGTAATTTTAGCACATTTTCTTTCCTCAAATGCACCTTCCTCCCCAATGTGACAAAACTTGATTCGTGTACCAAAACAGGAAAAGCGCGTTCCAAATTAGCTCTCACCAGAACGAGAGGGTGTAATCGTTTGGGTAGGCCTCGCTCTCCCTGACCAAAAAGGTCCCGTCTTTGCCACCCATTTCAGCGCAATATTCCTGCAGGAGCTTTTCGGCTGTGGTCCTGCCTTCCGCCATCTTCCCGTGGAACCATTTCTCGCCGTAGTGTAGCTCCGTGCTTTTCGCTTCCTAAAATATTAAGAAGGAATATTTCTTCAATTGATCATTGCAATGGATCACATACAACTTGTCCTTGACTTTGTTGTTAGTTGCGAAGTCGTGTCCGACCCATCGCGACCCCATGGACAACGTTCCTCCAGACCTTCCTGTCCTCTGCCATCTTCTGGAGTCCACTGAAGCTCACGCCTCCTGCTTCAGGGACTCCATCCAGCCACCTCATTCTCTGTCGTCCCCTTCTTCTCTTGCCCTCCATCTTTCCCAGCATCAGGCTCTTCTCCACTGAGTCCCTTTTTCTCATTTGGTGGCCAAAGTACTTGAGTTTCCACTTCAGGATCTGGCCTTCTAAAGAGCAGTCAGGGTTGATCTCCTCTAGGACTGACCGGTTTGATCGCCTTGCAGTCCAGGCGACTCAGAGGAGTCTTCTCCAGCACCATAGTTCAAAGGCCTCAATTCTTTGGCGCTCAGCCTTTCTTACCTGTACTCACAAGCAGCTTGGCCAGATTTGACAGGATTGTAATAAGTTTACCAATCATTTTCAGTGCTGGTTGAAATGTCACCCACCTTAGCCGTGGGGTAGCTACTGGCTCGCTTTGATGTCATTTAATGGATGTAATTTATGATGCAATTTTAATATTTTTACTTAAATTTCAGATTGAATTTTAACTTTTGTGATATAACTTTTGACTTAGTTTTGATTTAAATCTTCCGGAGTCGCTGTGTGTTAGGTGGCACGTGAATTTAATAAAAAAATAAATAAGTAAGTAAAAGACATAACGTGAGCAGTTTACATACCTTTGGGGGTTCTTCCTCAGCATTCTGTTCTATATCGTCACTGAAGGAGAGCTTTCCATTGGCTACAGCACAGTAATGACGAGTCCATTTCTACAAGGCCAAAAATGGTTGAAAGACAACTTTGCCCTCAAATCAGAAAAAGATAGCAACAAACTCCTCAAAACGTCTCTCTCCCTCCTCATTTCTCCATGATGAATGTCAGCTACAAAGGGAGAAGTAGAATCCTTGGTTACCTGGTCAATGGTGTCCCACATGTATAGTTCCCCTTGTTGTTTCTTTTCCTCTTTCTTATCTTCTGTGTTCACATCTACGTCACCTTTGGGTCCCAATTTTTTATGCTGGTGTAAATGAAGAAAGCAATTATGAGAAACGAACACCTTGGATGAGTTCTCCAGGACTTTTCCCTTGAGCTTCTGCTCTAAACAACATCCTTAAAGAAGACAATGCCCTGTTGAAAGAGTAGGAACATCTTCTGCTCCAAGACCAACTGCTTCCTCTCTTCACTTTCCCATGATAATGACTAACTTCTGATCATCTACGCTGGTCCTTCACTGTTGACCAAGAAAGACATTATTTGCTGACCCAATTTGTAGCATAATTTACATAAATTTACTGAAAATTGAAGTCTCTGTCCACCACCTGATTGTATATGGCTTACTTGCTTTGGAAAATTCCAGTTTCCATTATTAAGGATCTCTGGCGCTCAAGCTTAATATTATAATAGTGCGGAATGCTCAACAACTTGACTTTGAAACATACAAATGCAAAAGTCAGTTTCCTTTGCTACTCCCAGTGAAATTTTCTGCATTTCCAGGATTTGTTCAGGAGAAAGATAAGCCTGCCAAGATGTACACCTGCTTCATTGCTCGGAATTATTAAGCATAGATGAATTGTTTTACGGTAGGCGTTGGTTAGAAATGACATTATTCTAATGAATGGCCAATTCTGATCTGGATGAAAGCTGGCTTTTAACTGTAGCAAATTTAAGGCGTACTGCTTCTGTTTAATGGCAACCATGTGCTATTATTAGATTAATATCATGTAAAAAAAATAATGCATTTGCTGGGAAAAAAAGATAACAGATTTCAGCCCTGCCTCTGTGTGTGTGTGTGTGTGTGTGTGTGTGTGTGTGTGTGTATTTAGCAACCACAAATTGTAAGACCACCAGGAAATTCTTTAAAAACTATAAAAAGTTTTAATAAAATTTTAAACACCAAGCTTTCGCCGGCGAAAGCTTGGTGTTTTAAATTTTATTAAAACTTTTTATAGTTTTTAAAGAATTTCTTGGTGGTCTTACAATTTGTGGTTGCTAAATATGAGCTTACCCAGGAATCACCTTTTTATTTTTAGAATTCTTAGTGATAGATAGATAGATAGATAGATAGATAGATAGATAGATAGATAGATAGATAGATAGATAGATAGATAGATAGAAAGAACCAGCAAAAATTGTCAAAAAACATGATCAGGTGATGGTGGGATGCTGCAAATGGACAAAAAGATGAGCTGAGTGCCCCAAATGCAATTGTGTGTGTGTGTGTGTGTGTGTGTGTGTGTAGCAACTGGGGTCCACTGTAACGTCAAATGGTCACTAAGCTACCAGTTGTAAGTCAAGGATCACCTGTACTTACAGACAGATGGATGGATAGTTATAATGAAACAGTTATCCTTTGCTGAAACTGTTTTGTAGAGCTTCATAAATGTATAAAAAGCCCTTTCACACAAAATCTTTCTTACTGTGGCACTGCCTTTCTTCTATTACTGTTTTATTCTTTTTCTCTTTTTCCTTTTTCATTAAGTGAACGTTTAAAAGAATGGACGGACAGATGGATGAGTTGTAGAAAGACAGCACCGTACCAAATCCAAAGCTGGGGAAGAGAAATAAAAAAAAAACCCACACACCACCATCTTGGTGCATTTCCTAAATCTCATACTTTCTACCATCCAGGAGGAAAGTCTCAGTTCCCTTCAAGAGAGCAAGGCAAAGGGAGACAAATTGCATCCGTGCATTTTATTACATTTTTTTTTTAAACTGCCAACTCCAACTTACCTTGATGATGACTTTCCCTTTCAACTGAGTTGGGGACGGGAGCTGATCAGCACTGGCTTCAACGGGCTTTGCTAGAAGCTGGTCTCCGAACACTTCCCTGAACACCTTTGCTATGTGACGCTGCTGCTCCACACTACAATGCTCCTCGATTGACAAGATCACTGGGTACCTTCAGCAAAAGAGAGAAATACTCATGAAGAGGGTGATAAGAACCCCCTTGGATCCATCGTGACTGGGGTAGACTAGAGTTTAGTCCAGTGTCTATGGAGATTCCCCATCATCCAAGTCATGATTGTCCCAGACATGCTTTTTCCAACAGGCAACTGGACTTTCTGAAAAAAAATTTTTAAAACATTTTGCTTCCCATCCAAGAAACTGAGCAGGGCGTTGACTAGAAGACCTCCAAGGTCCCTTCCAACTCAACTCAACTCAACTCAACTCAACTCTACTCTACTCTACTCTACTCTACTCTACTCTACTCTACTCTACTCTACTCTACTCTACTCTACTCTACTCTACTCTACTCTACTCTAGTCAGGAGGTCACCCTGGATCCTGCAAGTAGGAATTTTGTGAAGTCTCTTCTAGTCTGTAAGACAATGTTTTAAATGGCAAACATGCTTGGAAAGTTTAAGAACAAAGAGGGGAATAGTGGAATTCAAAACACTTTTGGAGCAGAAAACTCTGAAAAGCATTATTCTTTGGGGTAATTAAAAATAATCAGCACTTACTCAGATGCTACAAATGCATAGTCCTTGATTGCCTGCACGACATCATCAAATTTAATTTTGGTCGTTCGTGTCCATCCGTGATAGATAATGGGCTTCCCCTCAGGACCATCCCAGCAATCCACTAATACAGACAACAAAAAGGAAAAAAAGTAATTGCAACAAAGGAAATATAAAGTTAAATAAGAGCATATTTGTAGCTCAGAGTTGTACTGTAAGACCTTTGGTACTCTCTGAGTTTGGTAGGGTTTTTTTGCAGATGTTTCATTACCCAACTAGGTAACATCAACAGCACTGATGATGCCACCTAGTTAGGTAATAAAACATCTGCAAGAAAACCACCAAGCTCAGAGAGCACCAAGAACTCCGAAGTTAAATATTTAATTGCCCAATAAGTAAATGAGAAGTGTGAGTGACAAATTAAATATGTATATTTAGGAGGCAAGGAAACAACAGCCAACGACTAAATAGCCAGCCATTAACACCCCGATCAACATCTAAAAAAACCACATGCATGAGGCAACATATAAATACCACACATAGAACAGCCCAAAGCACACACTTTGTTAGAGAGAAGTCTCCAGCATGACCCCTAAAGCTTGGAAGACTAAGCCTCTGGTCCCCTTGATGAATCCAGATTGGATCCTGCAACATTATCCTGGGACATCCTTCGTCTGTAAATACTTATCAGCTATTCATTTTGAAAGGCAATAATACAATTCTTGACACATCAAAAAAAGCAGAAGCTAAAGATCCCGGAAAGGAAAGTCGTATCACTTCTTTTCTGCTTCTTCTTGTCAGCCCAATCTCTTTATTAAAAAAAGGATTTCTTATCTGAAGAACAAAAAGAGAGCTGCACAGATTTGAGCGACAAGTTTCTGTGCCTGACGTTCTGCTTTTTTTTTTTTTTTTTTTTTTGAGTCACCATTTCGGTACGACTTGTTTTACAAATCAAAGCAAGAAATCCCAGGGTTAGTTCCTTGATACGCCAGATGAAGAAGCAATGCATAAACATTCACTCCAGTGGCTGCTGTGAACAATGAAGTCTGGAGTAATTCAACAGGAAATTCATAATAATTGAGGGCAATAGTTTATTTTAACTTGTAACTCTAGTATCCTGTAGTTTTATCTTTCCTCAGTAAACTGCAGACGCATTTCGGCATCAAAAGTAGAATTAGTTTAATAAACAGAGATTTGATTATAACGATCCTCTAAAAATATTAGAAGATTTTAGATTCCAATAAAGAGAGAATATTTGTAGATCAAGGTTGAAATGAGGGGTCCTTGGTGCTCTTTGATCTTGCTTGTTTTCTTGCAGACCTTTCATTACCAAACTAGGTAACATCATCAGCCCTAATGATGTTAACCTAGCTTGGGTAATGAAATATTTGCAAGAAAACAACCAAGCTCAGAGAGCACCAAGGACCCCTCAGACATTACATTATTACCATAATTTAAGAAGATATATATATTTTTATGAGGAGTCCTTGATGCTCTCTGAGCTTTCTTGTTTTCTTTCAGACATTTCATTACCCAAACTAGGTAACAACATCAGTGCTAGACCGTTTTGGGTAATGAAACGTCTGCAAGGAAGCAAGCAAGCTCAGAGAGCATCAAGGACCCCCTCATGTCAACCCTGAACTACAAATATTCTCCTTTATTGTTGAATTTTTATGGATGGGGTGAAAAGGCAGAAAGAGATTACTCACACTCAATACATCGACACCCCATTCGGAGACATCTGATGTAGGCTTCTGGGGAAGATTCACTACGAAGCTGATCTCCAGTGAGGTAACTAAGCCGGAAAGAACAGCATGGAAAAATGAAATGCAGCTTTCCATTATTATCAAGGGTGAATAGATAGAACAGTTGAAATTCTTTATTGGCCAAGTACGATTGGACACACAAGGAATTTGTCTCCGGTGCATAAGCCCTCAGTGTACATACAAGCAACAAGAGATAAATCATGATCATAATCATAAAATACAATCATAAAACACAGTCAGATAAAAGACCATAATACTTACGTATTATGGGAAGAAGAAATCCAGTAATGCGACAAAGGATTATTCATGTCTTGTGGGTCCACTGAAGCATACTTCTCATCCCAAATGGTGTTTTCTTTCGAAAAAAGGTAGGTAAGAAACTACAATAAAGTAACACACACACACACAGATGGAAAAATATGAATAGATGTTATTTACCTCATCAACATATAATTAAATGCTGTTTAGAGTCAGTATAAAATGAGACACTTGGAAATGCAGACCTTGGTTGGACTCTGAAGCCCCATAATATTCTTTACAGGAGAAATATTGCAAACAAATAGCCCCATTTACCTCATCAACATAGAGGAAAGGTTCGTCTGTTTCCCTCATAGTGTCATCTATAAATTTGGACATCCGTTCTCTTACTTTATTAAGATCCTGTGCCCAAGATTCCTGAAATTACAAAGAGTATCATCCAACATGTCTGTTCATCTCCAATATTATCACCTTTGAAAGGAAACAGTGATGCCACAGTATCACAGCCAAGGGTGGTGTAATGGTTAAGATGTTGGGACTAGGAGTGAGTAGGCCCAATTCCCATTCAATCAAGAGAAGGTCCGTGGTAGACTTTGGGTGAATCCTTCCCTCTCTGCCCAAGATCCAGGATGCTGTGGTAACTGGTAAAGATACTGGATCAGGAATTGGAAAATCTAGGTTCGAAACCTTGCCCCCACCCCAGCTATGATAGCATTCTGGCTCAGCCTAAAAGCAGTGTACTGGTTGGCAAAGGTATTATACCAGAAGCAGGAAGACCTAAGCTGATTCCTTCAGACATAAAATTGTATTATTCGGCACCAGTCTCTGGAATAAGGAAGTCTTCTAACCATGACTCTTTTGCTCTGCCATGGACCCAACCAATGGATCCTACCATATTTAACCATGATGTCATACATACATGTACGTTGAAAAACAAGAGCATTAGGATCTTCTCACCTGCTGCTCATGTAGGAGAAACCTCTGAAAATCGTGTAAATGTACTGCTGAGGCATCTGGCCGATCTGTGTTTCTGCAACAAAAAAAGTTAAAAGCAATTTGGAAAACGCCAGACTGGAGGAAAAAATGCACAATATCCAGCATGTAGTCTGACAAAGCTGAGACTAAGACTTGGTAAACAAGGGAAGCATTGTCTTTAATCAAAAACAACTGCAGGTAGGCTAAGATCTAAACTGTCTACCGGTTCAAAGGTCTTGGAAAAAAAGGATTGAATTATCATCATTTAAAAGCAATTATCTTCTTCTGGAACCATTTTCCTTAATTATTTTTTCCCTCCCAAATTGCGGGGTAGTAGGTCAAAAGAGAAAAATCGTACAGCAACATCGGCTGAAAAGATGAGAAAGGACAGGAAAGGAAGAGAGAGAGAAAAGAATTATTGCATCTGAGGACGTGAATGTTTCATTTCCTGAATTTTAAATAACACTATAAAAGTAGAGCTGTGCAACACCTTGGAAATAAAAGGTCGCAAAAGGGGATCATGTGACCCCTCGACACTGTCACCGTCATAAATACGAGTCAGTTGCCAAGCGTCCAAATATAAATCACGTGACCATGGGGATGCTGCAACTGCCATAAGTGTGAAAAATGGTTATAAGTGACTTTTTTCAGTGTCGTTATAACTTCAGTCACTAAATGAACTGTTGTAAGTCAAGGACTGCACCTATTTATGACATTTGCAGTGATCCCAATTGTGGTCATTAAGTCGAGGAGTACCTGTAAGTCACCTGACTGTCGTTACATTTCCAGAGAATCCTAAATCTTAATCCAGATTTATCAGATGACTATACAAAGAAACGGAACAGAAATGCATGATTTTCTTTCCATCCCTTATGTACAGCAAATGGATAATTAGACCAAAGATTAAAAGCTTTGTGTAAATTTTGCGTCTCAGAATTAGGTGGGATTTTTCTGCTCAAATAAATGAGAAGCAACGAACTCTGACTTAGATCATGGCTTGTTTGGCTTCAATAAACCATAATCCGGGGTTCATATAGGTTATATCAATATGAACAGGATGCAGGACGCAGGATGACACTTGCTCATAGTGTGGTTTACTAAGCCAGCATCCCTTGTTTAAAATAGTACACAAATACAGTCAAATGTATCTCATTAATCTACTGTGACGGAAAGAATAAGCGACAAAATGATATTGCAGGGAAGATTCTGATCAAAGCACTTTAAATGCGGTTGTGAATAAAATTGCTTCACACAATATCTCACCCTAAGAGAAACATAGTAGAATCCTTTTTGAATTCATCCAGAACCTGGGAAGAGAAAAATGACGAATAAAGAACAAATAATTTTCTTCTGCATAGAACAGTTATTGCCTGGAGAAAAACAGTTGTTCAAACAAGTGAAAATCATCAAAAGCTTTGGTTTATTTCTATCTATATATTTGTATCTGTTATCTATCTATCTATCTATCTATCTGCACGTATGTATGCATAATAGACTCTTATAGTTCTGAATCTACTCAATTAAAAGCAAGGAACTTTGGTATCATGAATTAAATATAAGACTGAAAACCTACTGTATGTACTAACTAATTACTACATTTCAGGTTACAACACAGAACACACTCTACACTTTAAGAGGAAGTCAGATAAGAGCAGAACATTTACCGATTTCTGTTGGTCAAACATAATCTTCTTGTAGAAAAGATGAAATTGCTCAAAGCTAAGTTCTTCTTTAGCAGCTTTTATTTCCTGAGTAAAAAATATAAATAAGCCAGCCATAAGTAATGGGGCAGCAATTTAGATTTTGTCACAACTACACCTACCCCAAAGCCGTTTATCCTGTCCCAGGCTAGAGAAAAAACAGGTAAGCATCCTATAATCTAGCAAAAAGACAGTTCTGCACTAAGGCTTCAGAGATGAAGTCCTTGCCTTCAGAAGTTGTGGGTGCTCCATCACTGGAGATTGTTAAGAACAGATTGGACACTGGTCTGAAATGAAATACGGTCTCCTGCTTATGCAGGGGATTGGACTAGAACAGAGGTCCCCAACCTTTTGGGCACCAGGGACCGGTTCCGTGGAGAGAGGTTTTTCCGCGGACCAGAGTGTGTGGGTTTGTGTGCTGCCTGCATCCCACGGATGGGGCTTTGCTTGTTTGTGTGGACCGGTTGCTGGCATGCCGTGGCCTGGTACTGATCCACGGACCGGGGATTGGGGACCCCTGGAATAGAAGACCTCCTAGATCCCTTCTGACTCTGTTATTCTGATGAAGATTTTGCATTTGTGCACAGCTGGAGAATATGGCTTCTATTAATTTGCTCGCCTAAATGTGAATGGCTACGAGCCCCACAGCTTATGGACTGATATTATAGTATAGTTAGGCCATGTGTAACTGACAGACTGGATGCCAAATTGTGATTTTAATATAGAGTCTATGTGTTATTTATTATTTATTCTAGAATTGTTAACTGGGTATTTAGGGAGTGTTTTTATTTGTTCCGGTCTCTGGTCTTTGACCGTAATTTGACCATGAACATCCAGGTTCCTGCTGTTCTAACAAGAGCACTAGCCAGGAAGAAAACACACAGAGACATTACTTCTTTCTCAGAGATGCCACATAGGTTTCATAGGAAGAAGGAACCATTTTCTGGGCGACTGTGGTGTGCACACTGAAAAGCTACATTTACACACCTTCCCCGTGCCCATGGAACAGCAAAGGGAGATGAGAGTTCCTACCCTCTGCCATTAACAACATCCAAGATGGGGAAAAAGACCTGTTCCCCAATGAAACCCAGAAGACTGATTATTTTGGAACTACGTAAAATGCACGGTAATAGGTAAGCTGCAGGACATGTAGCCTAAACCAATACTCACCGCAAACTTATCTTTCAAGTACTTCACGCTGTTCACTTTGAAGTTGATGGAGGGAAGTATTGTTTTCAACTCTCTCAGGCTGATGCTGAATAAGAATAAATACCAAGAACATCATTCTTTTTAGGTTCACTCAACATTCTTTATTCAACAACGGGGCTATCGGTCCCAACTGTGGTTACTAAAAGAGGACTAGCTGTGAAATGATGTCCAGGGGATGCTAAAAAAAAATAACCCCAAAACCTCAGGAAGCTGAAGGACTTTTTGAGACTGGATAGAGTCTGCCCCAATCAGGTTGGTGAAGAGAACATTTCACAAATGAAATATCGCTACTGAAAATATAGTCTTCAGCCGAGAATATTTGTAGATCAGGTTTGATCTACAAATGTGGCGTCCTTGATGCTCTCTGAGCTTGTTTGTTTTCTTGTAGACGCTTCATCACCCCACTAGGTAACAGCTTCAGTAATTGAAGGCAGTGGGATTTGCGCTCTGTTTAAATACTCTGCTTGTCTTATGCTCTGCTTGCCTTATGAGTATTGGTGAAAGTGTTCTTGGTAGTTCCTTGATTCCTTTTATATAAACAGAGAGCAAAACCCACTCCCTTCTAGCACTGATGATGTTACCCAGTTGGGTAATGAAATGTCTGCAAGAAAACAACAATGCTCAGAGAGCACCAAGGACCCATAGTTTATAAAGTCTCTCTTACTGCCCCTCAGACCTTCCGAATGAAAAACCAACAGAGGACCAACTTGTGCTGATGACCATTCAGGGCCAAAACAGATAAAGCAAAATAAACAAAAACAAAAAAAACAACATGGAACCAGCATGATTTAAAAATAACAAAACATAATATCAATGCAACACAGCCCAAAGGTTTATAATACTGGTCAGAAGCAGTGCTGACTCCCGCCCGCCAGCTGTAGTATATTGTGGCTTGTTGTTGTTAGTTGCAAAGTCGTGTCCGACCCATCGCGACCCCATGGACAACGTTCCTCCAGGTCTTCCTGTCCTCTACCATCTTCTGGAGTCCATTGAAGCTCACGCCTGCTGCTTCAGGGACTCCATCCAGCCACCTCATTCTCTGTCATCCCCTTCTTCTCTTGCCCTCCATCTTTCCCAGCATCAGGCTCTTCTCCAGTGAGTCCTTCCTTCTCATTAGGTGGCCAAAGTATTTGAGTTTCCACTTCAGGATCTGGCCTTCTAAAGAGCAGTCAGGGTTGATCTCCTCTAGGACTGACCGGTTTGATCGCCTTGCAGTCCAGGGGACTCGCAGGAGTCTTCCCCAGCACCATAGTTCAAAGGCCTCCATTCTTTGTGGCTAGAGAAACGATTTATGGAAAAATTCCTACTTAAATGAAAGTTTTGATTTTATAAGACCGTGGACATTTGTGTGCTTTTCTGATCTCACAGTCTGGCCTTTTACGCTGTGAAGGAATAACACCAGCAAGGCATCCAAAAGTCTGAAGGCCATGCTAAATTACTACATTATCATTATGTGGCACAGCCATGTGCAAGGAGAAATGATAGATGCTGCCTTGAACTCAGACAGTTACTCTATTTAAGAGAAATGATGAAGTGCACTCCAATATGCAGGAAAGGCACACTTGACTAATTCACTCATGTCAGCTGCTATGTTGATAAACTGTCTTTTCGCTATAGGAGGTCATCTTTTAGAAGGAAAACAGTCCCTGGCTATTCGGTTGAGTCATTTTTTTCCCCCTCCTGGAAGCATACTGCAAAAATATCTTTAGACCTGTTTCTCTTTCGCAATGGCATCTTCCCAAAAGATCCCCCAGAATACCTGAAGCAAAGATTCCCAAAACCTTCTGCAGAATGCAAGATAATTATCCAGTTTGGCAAGTTATGAGGCAGAAGCATCTCACTTCCCTGACCTTAAGATAACACCAGCTGTGTTGCCGTTTTTTGTATTATGAACACAATCAAGAGGCAGTCAAGGTCAGATGAGGCACACTTAGGGCAGCAGAAAAGATCCTGTTATTCCTTGGGCCTCTCNTACCTACCTACCTACCTACCTACCTACCTACCTACCTATCTATCTATCTATCTATCTATCTATCTATCTATCTATCTATCTATCTATCTATCTATCTATCTATCTATGCACGTATGTATGCATAATAGACTCTTATAGTTCTGAATCTATTCAATTAAAAGCAAGGAACTTTGGTATCATGAATTAAATATAAGATTGAAAACCTATGTACTAACTAATTACTACATGTCAGGTTACAACACAGAACACACTCTACACATTAAGAGGAAGTCAGATAAGAGCAGAACATTTACCGATTTCTGTTGGTCAAACATAATCTTCTTGTAGAAAAGATGAAATTGCTCAAAGCTAAGTTCTTCTTTAGCAGCTTTTATTTCCTGAGTAAAAAAATATAAATAAGCCAGCCATTAAGTAATGAGGCAGCAATTTAGATTTTGCCAAAGCAACACCTACCCATAAAGCCATTTATCCTGTCCCAGGCTAGAGAAAAGGCAGGTAAGTATCCTTAGCAAAAAGACAGTTCTGCACTAAGGCTTCAGAGATGAAGTCCTTGCCTTCAGAAGTTGTGGGTGCTCCATCACTGGAGATTGTTAAGAACAGATTGGACGCTTGTCTGAAATGAAATACGGTCTCCTGCTTATGCAGGGGATTGGACTAGAATAGAGGTCCCCAACCTTTTGGGCACCAGGGACTGGTTCCGTGGAGAGAGGTTTTTCCGCGGACCAGAGTATGTGTGGGTTTGTGTGCTGCCTGCATACCACGGATGGGGCTTTGCTTTTTTGTGCGGACCGGTTGCTGGCATGCCGTGGCCTGGTACTGATCCACGGACCAGGGGTTGGTGGTGACCCCTGGACTAGAAGACCTCCTAGGTCCCTTCTGACTCTGTTATTCTGATGAAGATTTTGCATTTGTGCACAGCTGGAGAATATGGCTTCTATTAATTTGCTCGCCTAAATGTGAATGGCTACGAGCCCCACAGCTTATGGACTGATATTATAGTATAGTTCGGCCATGTGTAACTGACAGACTGGATGCCAAATTGTGATTTTAATATAGATTCTATGTGTTATTTATTATTTATTCTAGAATTTTTAACTGGGTATTTAGGGAGTGTTTTTATTTGTTCCGGTCTCTGGTCTTTGACCGTAATTTGAACATGAACATCCAGGTTCCTGCTGTTCTAACAAGGGCACTAGCCAGGAAGAAAACACACAGAGACATTACTTCTTTCTCAGAGATGCCACATGGGTTTCATAGGAAGAAGGAACCATTTTCTGGGCGACTGTGGTGTGCACACTGAAAAGCTACATTTACACACCTTCCCCGTGCCCATGGAACAGCAAAGGGAGATGAGAGTTCCTACCCTCTGCCATTAACAACATCCAAGGTGGGGAAAAAAACCTGTTCCCCAATGAAACCCAGAAGACTGATTATTTTGGAACTATGTAAAATGCACGGTAATAGGTAAGCTGCAGCACATATAGCCTAAACCAATACTCACCGCAAACTTATCTTTCAAGTACTTCACGCTGTTCACTTTGAAGTTGATGGAGGGAAGTATTGTTTTCAACTCTCTCAGGCTGATGCTGAATAAGAATAAATACCAAGAACATCATTCTTTTTAGGTTCACTCAACATTCTTTATCCAACAACGGGGCTGTCGGTCCCAACTGTGGTTACTAAAAGAGGACTAGCTGTGAAATGATGTCCACAGGATGCTAAAAAAAACCACCAAAAACCTGAGGAAGCTGAAGGACTTTGAGACTGGATAGAGTCTGCCCCAATCAGGTTGGTGAAGAGAACATTTCACAAATGAAATATCGCTACTGAAAATATAGTCTTCAGCCGAGAATATTTGTAGATCAGGTTTGATCTACAAATGTGGCGTCCTTGATGCTCTCTGAGCTTGTTTGTTTTCTTGTAGACGCTTCATCACCCCACTAGGTAACAGCTTCAGTAATTGAAGGCAGTGGAATTTGCGCTCTGTTTAAATACTGTGCTTGTCTTATGCTCTGCTTGCCTTATGAGTATTGGTGGAAGTGTTCTTGGTAGTTCCTTGATTCCTTATATATAAACAGAGAGCAAAACCCACTCCCTTCTAGCACTGATGATGTTACCCAGTTGGGTAATGAAATGTCTGCAAGAAAACAACAATGCTCAGAGAGCACCAAGGACCCATAGTTTATAAAGTCTCTCTTACTGCCCCTCAGACCTTCCGAATGAAAAACCAACAGAGGACCAACTTGTGCTGATGACCATTCAGGGCCAAAACAGATAAAGCAAAATAAACAAAAACAAAAAACAACAACATGGAACCAGCATGATTTAAAAATAACAAAACATAATATCAATGCAACACAGCCCAAAGGTTTATAATACTGGTCAGAAGCAGTGCTGACTCCCGCCCGCCAGCTGTAGTATATTGTGGCTTGTTGTTGTTAGTTGCGAAGTCGTGTCCGACCCATCGCGACCCCATGGACAACGTTCCTCCAGGTCTTCCTGTCCTCTACCATCTTCTGGAGTCCATTGAAGCTCACGCCTGCTGCTTCAGGGACTCCATCCAGCCACCTCATTCTCTGTCGTCCCCTTCTTCTCTTGCCCTCCATCTTTCCCAGCATCAGGCTCTTCTCCAGTGAGTCCTTCCTTCTCATTAGGTGGCCAAAGTACTTGACTTTCAACTTCAGGATCTGGCCTTCTAAAGAGCAGTCAGGGTTGATCTCCTCTAGGACTGACCGGTTTGATCGCCTTGCAGTCCAGGGGACTCGCAGGAGTCTTCCCCAGCACCCTAGTTCAAAGGCCTCCATTCTTTGTGGCTAGAGAAACGATTTATGGAAAAATCCCTACTTAAATGAAAGTTTTGATTTTATAAGACCGTGGACATTTGTGTGCTTTTCTGATCTCACAGTCTGGCCTTTTACGCTGTGAAGGAATAACAGCAGCAAGGCATCCAAAAGTCTGAAGGCCATGCTAAATTACTACATTATCATTATGTGGCACAGCCATGTGCAAGGAGAAATGATAGATGCTGCCTTGAACTCAGACAGTTACTCTATTTAAGAGAAATGATGAAGTGCACTCCAATATGCAGGAAAGGTACACTTGACTAATTCACTCATGTCAGCTGCTATGTTGATAAACTGTCTTTTCGCTATAGGAGGTCATCTTTTAGAAGGAAAACAGTCCCTGGCTATTCGGTTGAGTCATTTTTTCCCCCCTCCTGGAAGCATACTGCAAAAATATCTTTAGACCTGTTTCTCTTTCGCAATGGCATCTTCCCAAAAGATCCCCCAGAATACCTGAAGCAAAGAAAGGGTTTTGGAAGACGTCTTACGTTCTATTAATAGGTCAAACCGTTCAATACTCCGTCTTCGTAGAGTGAAGGGACTGGAATTCTATTGTGGTCGACACAACGGCAAAAAACATAATACTTGTGTTAGTTCTCCGTCAGTTCCAGTCTACTCCGTGTGAATCCCGTCGTCTTTTCTAGGACAATAAGGAACCCGGAGAGATTCATCACGCTTTTTTCTTCATTGTGTTGTTTCTTATTTAAACAAAGGTGCCAGCTTGGTGTTGTGGGCTAGGATCAAATAACAGGATGGGCTGAGCCCTTCAGCCATCTCCGGGAGACTCAAAACTCAACCTTGGTCCCACCAGTTCAGCTCCTGGGGAAACCTGCCTTGGCATCTTATGACCTGATGCACAATAATCCAGCACTGGTGCCCACTGGCAACCATAAAACCTGATCACGTGACTGGAGACTAAAACATGTGAAGAACAGCTGCAGGACTTGGGTTTGGCTAGTGTAAAGAAAATAAGAAATAGGGGAGATACGATAGCAGTACTCCAGTATTTGAGGGGCTGCCACAAAGAAGTGGGCATCAAACGATTCTCCAAAGCTCCAGAGGGCAGGACAAGAAACAACGGTTGGAAACTGATCAAAGAGAGAAGCAACCTGGAATTAAGGAGAAACTTCCTAACAGTGAGGGCAATTAACCAGTGGAACAGCTTGCCTCCAGAAACCGTGGGCGCCCCATCACTGGAGGTTTTTTTAAGAAGAGACTAGACAGTCACTTATCTGAAATGGTATAGGTTCTCCTGCTTGAGCAGGGGGCTGGACTAGACGGCCTCCAAGGTCCCTTCCAGTTCTATTCTATTCTATTCTATTCTATTCCATTCCATTCCATTCCATTCTGTCCCCATTTCCATATTCTATTCTATTCTATTTTATTATTCTATTCTATTCTATTCTATTCTATTCTATTCTATTCTATTCTATTCTATTCTATTCTATTCCTCACTTATTCTATTCTATTCTATTATTCTATTCTATTCTATTCTATTCCTATTTCTATATATAAGGCCTAGTCACATGGAGTTTTAGGAGACTTTTTTTAAAGTGACTTAATTACAACAAAAATACATAATAAAGAAAAACAACATAGCACAGCTTTAGAGTCTGAAATGAATGAGTACCTGTTTCTTCTGGATTGATCCACCGAGTAAATCAGCTTCCTCAGCCAGCTTTAGAGCCAATAAAAATACAGCCAGGATTAGTTTTGTAAACAGAAGACCAAACTTAATGATGTGTTGTAATTTCAACATATAAAACATCAAAACAGAAATGAATGCTCCTGTTTCAACACATAACTTTCTATGAAGCGCAAACTGCACCAAAGTATCTTTTTAGTTTTTCTGTGACTCCGGGACAGATTCTGAAGAGCCTGTCTAACATTTCGGCATCAAACGGCATGAATTATACGTATGAATGTGAAAAATGTTTATTTATGAGTAGGGAGATCACTCTGGTCACTTTCAGCATAGAGCCAAGACTAGTGTATCATCCACAGCATACTAGAATTACTTATAGACAATCAGTCCAGGTAGAGGAAGAGGAAGAGGAGGGACGGAGAAAGAGAAGAATGGAAGGAAGAGGAGGATGTGAGATGTGAATTTAAGTCCAAAGGGGATGAAGATACTTCAGATCCATTAGAAGGACATCACTCTAGCTATCAGCAGCTCATTCAAGGAGCTTTTCTAGATTTGCAAAATTAGTTGAATGGGCTCCGAAATATATGTATTTGAATTTAGGTGATTCAGAAGGCAACAATCTGGACTAGAACATATAACATAGAGTAAGAGTTGGAAAGGACTTTGGGGGCCTTCAAGCAGGAGACCTTATACCATTTCAGACAAATGGTTGTGCGGTCTCTTTTTGAACTTCTGAAGACTGAACTCAATTCAGGTGAGACTGAACAGTTAAATGATCTGTATATATACCGGTATATAGTGTACGTAATTGGGTTTGTCTAGTCTAGGGAAAAGAAGGACTATGGGCGACATGATAGCAGTGTTCCAATATCTGAGGGGCTGCCACAAAGTGTTCCAATATTTGAGGGGCTGCCACAAAGAAGAGGGGGGTCAACTTATTTTCCAAAACACCTGGAGGCAGGACAAGAGGCAATGGATGGAAACTAACCAAGGAGAGAACCAGCTTAGAACTAAGGAGAAATTTCCTAACGGTGAGAATAACTAATCAGCGGAACAGCTTGCCTCCAGAAGTTGTGGATGCTTCATCACTGGAAGCTTTTAAGAATAGACTGGACAGCCCCTTGTCTGGAAAGGTACAGGCTAGAGCAAGGGGTTGGACTAGAAGACCTCCAAAGTCCCTTCCAACTCTGTTATTCTGTTACCAGAATATATATCAATACGAAACAGCTCTTCCACATACCTCTCTGTAATAGCTGGGGTGCCTGCATTTATAGCTTCCTGGTGCAAAATGCTCAATCCACAAAGCCATTTGTCAGCCTCCTCCTTTGAGTCAGCTGCCACAGAAAGGAAATATAAAGATGCAAATTAAGAAACTTGATGATGCAAAAAAAAAGGGGGGGGGAACATCTGTTATCCCACCGCACAGCTTCATGATGCCAAGAATAAATTGCATACTTCTGAAGGAAAGCAAAATGCCTAAAAGGAATTCCTTGAATTAAAAAAAAAATAGAACCATGATTTCTCCCCCCCCCCAAAAAAAAAACTTGGCCACTTTAATATACGTGGACTTCAGCTCCCAGCATTCTGGAAGCTGAAATTCACACATCTTAAAATGAAAAATGCTGCATTAAACAAACCAGCAGTGGAAAACATTGCTTTAGAAGATGCAATAATAGAGATACACAAACATAATCCTGCATCAATAACTATGTACATATATCCTATCTTCTTTCTAGCTCTCCCACATACTTGATTTCCAACTATTTGTTTAGCAACTGTTCAAAGTTATAATGGCACTGAAAAAAGTGACTTACAAACAAATAACTGGCAGTTATGACCATCACAACGTCCCCACATGAACAACATTCAGGCATTTATAACAATTGCAGCATCCCAAGATTATCTGATTGCCATATGTGATCTTCCTCATTGGCTTCCGACAAGTTGTTGTTGTTGTTGTTATTGCTATTATTATTATTATTATTATTATTATTATTATTATTATTATTATTATTATTATTATTATTATTATTTAGCAATGGAAATTCCAATCCCAATTGTGATAGTGAGTCAAAGACTAATTGTATTTGTTTGATTTATTTGTTATCCTTCCAGACGGCACCAGTCTCCCCGTGTTAGCTTAAAAAATATTTGCAGTTGGGAATAAGAATTAAGAGGATGTCAGCAAGCATCTGGAAGGAGCAACGTCGCAATCCCGGATTTTAAAGGAGAGATTCAGACAAAATAGGTTTTACCTGCCAAGCTTAAAGTGTTGAGGACAAACTGAGAGCCATAAAAAATGGTGAAGCAATGTTCTTCCTTTTGACGTGCCCCTTTTCCACGCTCAAAATCCTTCGCGTTTTTCCCAGGTCTGAGCTCCTTTATTTCCGTTAAATCCACTGGAAAGAAAAACAAAAGAAATCTCAAATGTAAAGGTTGCGTCGACCTAAGCCAAGTTTCTACAGGATGGCTACTGAGTCCTATTTCACAATCAGACTCTTGGGTAAAACTGCTGCAGGAAACTCATTGTCTCGAACAAGAGCACAAAAACGTTGCCATCTAGCCAACGAAAGCAAGTTAATTAGTCGTATTTCTCCCTCGATCGCCAGGGTGCAAGGTGAATTTTGCATTTGTAAATGAGGGTGATTTTGTGTGCTTGCAATTCAAGAGCACCTTCCCAGGAGTCTATTCAACCATCATCAAAATGATACTTCTTTCATTTGAGCACCAAAAGGTTAAACGAGTCTAGAAGTTTTCTCTGATATGTCAGCAGCCTGGTGGAACAGCTCCCCCCTCTCCCCAAATAAGGACCACCCTATCCCTTGCTGGTTTTCTGAAAAAAACCTTTCCCTCTAGGCACCAGGGCCTGAATTCTAACGGGCTCTGCTATGGTTGTGAATGAGTCTAGCATGGAAAGTTCTTAAGAGGCTACCTAGTTTTTAACTGTCTGTACATCTGAGTTTTGTTTTTAAACTCTGTTTGCTGCCCAGAGTTTCTCGGATGGCTGCGTGGATATATAAATTCACTTATTAAGTAAGTAGATACATAATAAGTAAGTCACTATGTGTATGGGAATGATCCTGGGAGACAGGAGGAATTGCTTCAGAGTAGACAACGACCAAGTGAGTCCGCAGAAGGAACGGCAAACATCTCAAGGAGAAATTCTCCCTAATTTCTTGGACTGTAAAGGGGAGGGAATAGAGATGTACTCCAGACTTGCAAAATTCTCTTACTGTACCTTACTATATCCCAAAGGTGCTTTTTCAGGAGGCAACTGGACTTTCTTGTTCTTCTTTTAAGACCTTTCACTTCTCATCCAAGAAGTTTCTTCAGCTCTGGCTGAATGGTGGGGAATGGAAGGATTTATACTCCTTGCAGACAGCTGGTCATTTGCATTATTTTAGGGAGTCGTTGAGGCCACTTGGAGGTTTATCTGCATCCTCAGGGTCACCTGAGTGGTGCAAATGGATGTGGAGCCTTCTTGGCTGCAGGATGTTTTCTGCCCTGTGTCCCTTCACTGTTGAAGACAGGTGCAGGCTGTTGGGGATGAGTCTTGTGTTGTCTGCATCTCAAACTGAAGCACAACGTTAAATCCAAGAAGGCTTCACACCCTTAGGACACAGGTAAACCTCCAAGTGATCTCAACAATTCTCTAAAGGAATGCAAATGACCAGCTGTCTGCAAGGAATATAAATCCTTCCATCCTCCACCATCCAGTCAGAGCTGAAGACGCTTCTTGGATGAGAAGCGAAACGTCTTCAAAGAAAAACAAGAAAGTCCAGTTGCCTCCTAAATAAACACCTTTGGGACAACCATGACTGAGAATCTCCATAGACAACCTTACTATCGATTTAAGGCTAGTACTTCTAGCTGTGCTTCTTGTCTGGATTACCTTGAAAGGGTGATCCTATGTTAGATGTGACCCAGGGTTTCAGGGATGTCTAGCTTTGCACCTTTCCAAAAAGCATCATCTTGACCACAGAAAGTCTGGAGGCAGCAGCCCTGCTCTAATAAACCAGGAAGCTCCTTCTCATTCACCAGCTATTCTACATCTCAAAAAATGTTTACAGAACACAAAAGGGCTTTTTTTCTGACAGATGGCAGCAACTGCTATCCCATCAAGGACAAACAGGTCACAGTACAAGAAGAAAGGCTGAAGCTTCAACCTGGCTAAGTGAAAATAAAAGAAGTGGCACCTTATTACTGGATCAAACCTTACACTGATTTATTTACCAGTTATACCAGGCAATCATCTTAGAATCATAGGGCTGGAAGGGACCTTGGACGTCTTCTAGCCCAAGGTAGAAATCCTTATTCCATCTTGGACAAATGATTGTCCAATCTTTTCCTAAAAACCTCCAGTGATGGAGCACCCACAACTGATATATTTCCATCTATTTCCAAACTCTTTATTTTGCATGTTATGGACTAAATATGCGTGAATATTTGCACTGTTGCAAACACTTCCGTCTACTGAAGACAATTTGTCTTCAAGAATTTAAAATGTTCTAGTTGATCCTAAACTATATGATAAAATATTTATTACATGTTCTTTCATATTTGACCAAAAACCTTCTCCTTTGAGTACATTATATTCAGGTAGTCTTGTTTTCATTTGGAACAGCTCTTCATAAATTTCCAAAGAAGTTATTTGAAGTGGAGACCCTTGATAATGAAATGACCTCTGTAGGACTGATGCTTCTGTGAGCATTTTGGGATTCAAAATTATCCTTTTCCCCCACAAAAAAAAATAAAAATAAAAATGGGAAGTTAACATGACATAAGCAGAGCACCAGATTCAAATATCAGGTTTATTTCCAACAATGTTTGACCACGTGCCCATTCTTAGAAAATGAATTCTAAACGCCATCCAAACAGTTTGTCGGAAAATGTTCAAAAATGCTTCCTCATGCAAGGTTTTATTAACGTAATTACATCACATGGAAGAGAAAGGAAGAGAGAGAAAAAATCAACTTTATTTGAAACACGAGGAGTGTGCGTTCTTTCGATAAAACCCTGACTCAAAAAGAGAGGAAGTGGTTTCATTCCACTATGCAAACTGGATGTAAGAAGAGACAGACTCTCCTACAGGTCAAAGGTTAGAGTTGAGGAGAGAGGAATAAATTTGAATGTTTCAGTCTAGAATCGGAATTATCTCCCATGCTATTTACATGATATAGTCCTAAGCAATTTACTGAATAAGTGTAAAATGTAGGTGCAAACAAGGGTAGATGTGCTTTTGTGTATAGACATATAAATGTGCATACATGCTCACACAAATATATACATATACACAGAGAAAGAAAAGTAGTTCTCGACTTACAAACATTTGTTTAGCAATCATTTGAAGTTACCACAGCACTGAAAAAGTGACAAAAAAGTTAAATGGCACAAAATTCAGGAGTAAATAAAACTAAAAATTATCAAATTTCTACACTGGCCATCTCAACCAACATGACTCTGGGCAGTTTAAACCCATCATGAAATAATATAAATAATAATTTAAAGTAAAAAAAGTCTGGATAGTGGACGTGGGAACATCCGAGACAGTGGAACAGAAGAGGAAGAATTTGAAAAGATAACGAAATACAAAGACCTGCAAACAGAAGTAGAACAAGTGTGGCAAAAGAAAGCAAAGATGGTACCAATAGTAAGAGGTGCTTTGGATGCAATGCCAAAACATCTGGCGCACCACTTGCATGCCATCGGCATTGACAAATTCACCATCAGTCAACTGCAAAAGGCAACTTTACTTAGAAAAATTTACAACCTGTGACCACACCTATAACACTATCAAACAACAACCTCTGCCTATCCCAAGTCCTTGAGAAGGGCTTGAAATGGCCAAATCCAATCTAAACATCTGGCTGACTGTGCAACAAGCCATTATTATTATTATTAATAATTTAATATTCAAATATGTAAAATATTTAACTTATGCTTTGATATTAAAACATAATTACATGATTTGTAATTTTTGAGTAACATAAATATAATTTAATAATAAAATAATTAGCTACAGACTTCACAAGCAATCAGTGTAACACGGTCACGGGCTTATCAACTACTTTTAGAAATAATGGAACGTACGAAAAACAAAGGTAAGGAATAATATAGAAGCCTTAGGGCTATATTTTGTTTATGGATCTTTGTAAAATGCCATTCAGTCATCTAGAAAATCACTTTGTCCCCCTCTCTCTAACAAGAGATAAATAAGTATATTCAAGATTACCTCTGTCTGGTCAAGTTTATAGGGAAGGAGAGATAGCAATGGAAATTTAAGATATCCATGTAAATGTATCTTGCTATGAGTTAAAAGAAGGCACAATTAATTCTGGATTTGTAGTCTGATCCGGTTCAGCTCTTGCTTTTTCACCAATAGAAGAGAATATTGTAGCTCAAGGTCCTTGGTGCTCTCTGAGCATGGCTGTTTTCTTGCAGATATTTTGGGTCTAGTTGCGTAATGAAACATCTGCCAGAAAACAATCAAGTTCAGAGATCACCAAGGAGTCTTCTGTTTTTAAAATGGCACCCCAAAATATGTTCATAAGAGGGCCGCTTCTGATTCCAGAAATGTCCTCATACTCGCGGGCTAATACAATAGCTTCCATTACTACTACTACCACTATCAAACTGTTGACTTGAGCACTTACGTAAAAGGCAAAGTAGATAGATAACATTAAATCTTTGTTTGTAGAAGAACGTTGGCCTAACTTTCAGTGACTACAGTAACAAGGAGAAGAGAAAGGAAAGGGAAAAAGCTGACTCAAGTTAAAGCCGAAGAATTGACATTAAGATTATAAATGAGAAGAAGGAGCAGGTGTTCAAATTAGTCTCTACCCATTTTTTCCCTCCTTTATGTCAAATTTAGGGAAACTCTAACTACGTACCCTCCCCAGAGTCAATACCAATGGCAGCAAGATATAAACACCGTTGAATAAATAAAACAGACATCAACTGAAACAAAGACAGTCTGATTCCATATTTCAGAAAACACAAAAGACAGCTGGGTTTTTTTTTTCAAACTCTTTCCATCCCTTCACAAAATACAGGTGTAAAACGGAATGCAAACACGGACAATGGGATTTTGTTTTTGGGGGTTTTTTTGGGGGGGGGGGAGTCAACATGACCAGTATTTTCACTAACCAGCCTTGGATATGGAAAAAAATTAAAAGCCATTGTTTCCTTTGCAAATTTGCCTCACTGACCCCAAACAGTGACAACAATAGCTTAATTCTTGTTTCACCTTGCTCGGCATTCTGTTTCATGTAGCTGAAAACACAGTTGATAGCTTAGTACACAGGGTGTCAAACTCGGCGCGTCACGTGACGTGTCGCGACGCATCATGACTTTTTTTTGCTTTGCTGGAGCTGGGGTGGGTGCGGCCTCCTTACGATGC